TACTCATAGATGATGTCCCCCATCCTCTCCAACTTCTTCTCCACAGTGCCTCGAAGTTTCTCGAGGGTCAAGGTAAGGTCAGTATTCACTGTTTCCCACAACTTCTTGTCACTGGCGCCAGGCCACTTCACATACGGTCTGTGCCCTGGTAGTCTCCTCTCGATTGCAGGTCTCGGAGGCTGGGTGAGTTCCACTCTAGTTGTTGGTTCCACCTCAGTTGTTACTTCGGTGCTTGAGTTTACGTCCTCCATGACAGTGGTACTGATGCACTGCAAACTATGGTTTGCGTCCAGTTGCTGTGCTTCATTCGACTGATTTGATCGCTTTCGCAGAAAGTAATCAATGCGAGGCCTCTGTCTCTCTTTACCCAAACACCCCTTCTTCACCTGGTGGATCCTCAACCCATGGTGTGATCTAACTTTCCTCCAACCACAGACACATACCTGCATCTGTTTGTGGCCTACTTTTGCAGCGGAACTTGTGACAGTTGCTGTGGTGTTCTCTTGTGCTGTGCTCTCATTACTCGTAGTCGTTTCCGGTCCAGTCGTTACCATGTTGTCAGTCGATGAGTCATCTTCCGCCCCCGCTCTCGCAGACTCTAGGGGTATTCTCGTATGTTGACTTTCTGTAGCTAGAGCGGGTGTTTCCAACATACTGCGAAGCATGGGAAACTACAGAAATGGGAAGCTAACCCATGACTGTCCCAGTGGGGTCTATTCCCTCCTGTCAGCCGTCTCTCCGTGCCGCCACAAGGACTTTCCCCTGTTGTCAGCTGATCTTTCTCAGCAGTCACTGGACAAGTCCAGATATTCAGATTCCAAAGAACACAGGATGAGATGTTATTATCCTTTGTGCAAGCACTTCCAAGAGTTCATGAACAGTGAGCCTGGTGAAATTTGGGGAGCGCATCGTCAGTAGTGAACCTTTGGGTCCTAGGGTGTTTCGGCCTTTCATACTTTACACCCTCCCCAAAGGCGGCCAGCGACAGGGTGATCAATCCTACGCTTGCGTCCCATTCCCAATTAGTCATAGGAGTTGCCTTGTTGTTGGTAGCCAACATCCCATGGGACTATGCATGGCAGGGGCGTCCTCCTCCCTGAGTCAAGCATTGTTGACTGCATACCTCCTGGCCCTCTCACTTTGGGGCCCAGCTGGGGTCTTTCCTCTTCATCCAGAGCCACTGACTGCTGCCTTCTGCCGCCTCCGATACAGCTTTGATTGCCGAACGCTGGCTCTGGCCCTTAATTCCCAGGTCTCTAAGCAGTCTGGTTGTAGATGTTGCCACAAAACCTCTGCAGCCCACCTCCACTGGTCGGACTTCTGTGTTCCAGCCATGATGCCGTGCTTCGGCAGCTAGATCGGCATAGCGCAGATGTTTTCGCTCATAAGCCTCATCTTCTGAGTCCTCCCAGGGTACTGTGAGCTCAATGATGAAGACCTTCTTGAGCGAACGGGACCAGAGCACCATGTCAGGTCTTAGGGTGGTGGTTGCGATCTCTGTAGGAAACACAAGTTGCCGGCCAATGTCAGCTAGCATTTTCCAGTCGCGGGCCAAGCGCAGCTGGTCTCGCTCTATTGGTGTAGAGCCGCTCTTCGGTGGTTTAGCCCCTTCGCGGACAAAGGTCGTCCGTAAGGGGTGTGATGCTGCTGGGGGTGGTAGGGAGTTGGTGGCAGCTCGCTTGTCCTCCAGGGCGGACGCAAGGTTTTTAAGGACTTGGTTGTGACGCCAAGTGTAGCGTCCTTGGGTGAGGCTTGTTTTACACCCTGTAAGAATGTGCCTGAGGTTGGCTGGCATGGAACAGAGGGCACAGTCCGGATCTTCACCATACCATTGGTGAAGATTAACTGGTGTTGGAAGGATGTCATATGTTGCTCTGATGGAAAAGCTCAACCGTCTCGCTTCCATGGCCCACAGATCCTTCCAGCTGATCTTCCTCTTCTCCACACTGTCCCATCGAGTCCACTGTCCTTGTTTGGCAAGAGAGACTGCCTTGGCCCACCTTGCAGCCTCCTCCTGATGGCGTACTTCCTGCACTACCATCTTCCGCCGCTCTGGTGCAGTGGCCTTACTCCAAGCAGCATGGCTAGTTAGCCCAAGGCCTCCTCTCCCTTGCTGAACATGACCCACAATGTCAGCATGTCTGAGGGCTGCTGTTGCCTCCTGGACTGCTTTTCCTGGCCTCCATTTGCGCCCAGTTGCCAAGGTCGGCGCGTTGTTGCTCACCACTGGGTCTCGAGATTCATTCAGTGTCATCTGGAGCCTGGTTTTTGCACACTTGAATTCCTCGGTTAGACTGGTGAGGGGCAGCTTGAGGACACCATCTCCATAGAGGCCTATGGTGGTAAGGCATCGTGGAACTCCGAGCCACTTCTTTAAGTAGCTCGTGGCTCCTCTTCATAATAAAGATTGTTGGGTTAGATTCGCGTAAGTATACATGTGTCGTAACCCGCCACCACCCGACACACCCAGTAAGGTTTGTCACGTAAACATTTAGTTACTATCGATTTAAAGCATTCGTGACTGCAGGGATTCATCTTCTTGGTTCTTTCGGTAAAGTCACGTAGAAGGGAAAAAAATACTATTGTATTTTATTATGTTTTATTTTTATTATTATTTTTATTATTTCCCTTCTAAAAAAACATATTAAAATACAATTATATTTGTTGAAGAACGTAATACAATTGTATTTTATTATGTTTTATTTTTTATTAAAACATAATAAAATACAATTGTAAAAATTCTAAAATTCTATTATTTCCCTTCTAAAAAAACATAATAAAATACAATTGTATTTTATTATGTTTTTATTTATTAAGTTTTATTTTCCTTCTACGTGACTTTACCGAAAGAACCAAGAAGAGTTAGTTACTACTTCAGCCTACCGGTGTGTTGGAGAGTAAATCCACAACATTTACAATTTGAGTACGACGTCTCAAAAGCAATGCACGTAGACATCTCGTTAGACATCTAGTTAGATACCTAGCAACGAAACAAATATAAAGTGGCACAAAACAACCATCCCGGGTGACCTGCTGGAATCGCTGAGACCATTAGGTTCGGGTTCTCAGGCTTAGCGGGTTTATGATGTCAGCCTTGAGACCAGGGCCTGCCAACACACCGCACGTGCACCCACATGAGTCGATGTTACTTCGTTTGGCTAAATTCCAGCTTTCGAAATGAATGGGGGAAGACCCCCCCCCCCCACCCATGGGTTGAACTACCACGTGACAAAAATGTCTCTGTAGAGTGCAGTGGCTATAGTACAGTCGTAGTGTGCGGATGGAATAGGTCGTTAGAGAAGGTATCTCAGAAGTATTTCTGCGATGTCCGCTTCTGCGGACCACTCTCTACCACAAACACACACACGTAGCGATGCACTGCACAGCACTCACATGCCAAAATGTGAGTGCCGGAGTCGCTCGTGCTTCGACTTCGGTGCGAAATCTGTAACCCACTGGGTGCTGCGGTCAGTACGGCCAATTAACACCAGGGCATCAGCACCCGGGAGACAAAGGCGGCCGGGCAAGTGGGTGGCAACTGCACCCCTCCCCTCCCTCGCACGTCGCTGCGACGCCGGCGATCGGCGGACATCCGAGCGGGACTCACGGGATGACCCCCGGCGCGAGGAATGAGCCGGCGTTTCCGCCAACTTCACCTTCGACTCCCGTCACTGACGGGGGAATGAAAGAGTCGCCCTGTCGTCAACACGGCGGAACGCACGCAACCCGTCCATTCGCCGTAACCGACCAACTGCCCCGCGGTCACGCAAGGAGACACGGACGATGCGTGCCGAGCAACTCCCGGTGCCGCCCAATGGGTTGCCTAGACTCGGCCTCGTTATAATATGCTGCCAGTTGGACTCCCTGTGCCGTACGTGAGAGGTAGAGAGAGGGGGGGGAGAGACAGTCACTGGGATTCAAACATGGTTAGGGTTCAATCTTGATTTGGAGTTTTCGTGACTGCAGGAATCCATACTCTTTGGTTCTTTCGGTGAAGTCATGTAGGTAGAAAAATAAATAATAAATCACGACGTTTCGATCGCAACACAAGCAATCGTCATCAGGTAGAAAGATACAGCAGTAGAACTGCTGAACAAGAAAGGGCATTAACATCACTCGCCCCAGCCACTTCTTTATGACCCTTGGGCTAAACCCATTTCAAACCTTTTGAAACAGTCTACCTCAGCAGCAGGCCATGCTTTCCCACCTGATGACGGACGCTTGTGTTGCGCCCGAAACGTCGTGATTGATCTTATTTTATATCTACGTGACTTTACCAAAATAACCAAAGAGTAAGAAAGGGCTGTTGCAAAAAGAGGTGGGTGTCACCCAAGGGTAAGTAGGCGGGGTCAGAGGTGGAAAATCATTCCCGTCGCCGTACGCATGCACAGCAGCTGCGTTGAAGTGCTTGTGTTGCGATCGAAACGTCGTGATTTATTATGTATTTTTTTTACCTACGTGACTTCACTGAAAGAACCAAAGAGTATGGTTAGGATTATAACTCGCTGACCCGCCCATACTGGACATCTGTGTAGAAGAGCTTCATAGCTCATCGGATTTCTCGTGCAGTCTAAATATAGGTTCTGATTCTGATACCAGCCCGGCGAGCAACTCGGAATGAAAATGTTGCAAATTTAATTTCCCGTTCGGGGTTTGATCCAGCCCATCATCTCCAAGTGGGTCGACACAATTAGTACCACTTTGTGTGGAAGTCCACAGTGGTTGTCCTATGGATATACTCGCCACCGACAAATGAATGTAGAATTGCCACCACTGGCTCCGGGGGCTGTTAAAGAGGCGACGATCACCGTCGCCATGCTCACTTGAGAAACAAAATCACTTTGAAAAACACAAAACCAACAATTTAGGCTACAGAGATTGCGATAATTCCACTCGTCAAATGTCCCTGCCGCACCCACCCCAGAACGCCGACCCCTCGGCCCCCCCTCCCCTCCCCTCTCACCGCTTGCCCGGCTCCCCCATGGAGTTAGAGGCGCAGTCTCAATCACGAATGCGACCCCCCAGGTGGCCAATCACAGCGCGATGAGCGCGTCCCATCGGCTTGGATATAAACCCCCCCTCCCCAGATGCCGCTCGGTTCCAATCGGGCGCAGCTGCAAAAACCTCCGAGGCGAGACTGCACCACCAGCACCTAGCCTGGTACGAGAACGCGACGATGCACGGCGGCGATTATGATGATAATACTGAATGTCAAAGTACGTTAATGATGATGTTAATGACGTTGATGTTGACGATTACGTTCACGATGATGCTATCGACGACGATGATGATGATAATGACAATAATATAGATTGCCATGATGATATTGTCATTGGAAGTGGCGGAGCAATTCGCATCGGCAGCTGTGGCATTTGATTCCCATGGCGTTGTTAACTGCGTTTCGCGACATTTCTCTGGACGCCCACGTGTTTAGCTGCGGTGCTCGTTGTTTGCATTCAAGGTGCGCGCAATGTCATTTGTCCGGGCCAACTTATTTGAGAGGAATTTCAATGCAATTGAATGTCGATGTTGTGCGTGCGTGTCTACAATGACGGTGGCCACCGCATCGCGCGTCGCGTTCAGACGCGCGTCTGCGGCCGTCTGGAACGCTTCTTCCTTCCGATATGAGGAAGCTACTGGGGAGCTGTGGCACTTTTAAATCATCGTCTGTGTTGATAAACTCATTTCTCTAGAGCTGAGTTTTGTGTTCAGTTTAATGTCCTTCCCCCGCACCTCCGATTATCACGGTTCGCTGCATACGGCGTGAAAGAAGTTCAACATACACACATCAATATTGGTGCGTTAATATCGATGCCTCCTGCAACGCGGTTCTTCTGCTCTCATCTAGTTTGCTTCTTCCTCCTGCTGCTGCTGCGGCTTTGGTCAATGCGGGTGACCCAGGGCAATCTTGTGGACTTCGATTCCCGCCCACGGTTCTGGGCCTCCCTTAGGTCGACTCAGCCTCAAATGAGTACCTGGTGCGCAGTGTGTAAACGTCGCCACGAGGGACACAAAGGCGGCCGGGCGTGGTGCTGGTCACCCATCCGCTCGTGTGCCGTGCCAGCCTTCATAGGCGCTGCCACTCGCTAACAGCACTTGCCCCCAGACAGCCTGTTCAGGGCTGTACGGGAGATCTTTGTCTTTATAGATAATGGTGCAGTAATGTTGATGCCTCCCAGTCAAGCGGTTATTCTCCTCTGATTCTGTTCGCTTCCCCTGGGCCCTGCCGTCTTCAGTTTGGCTTTGGTCAATGTACGATGTGAGTAGGCCCTCATCCAGCGGTGAATCTTGGACCGTGTGGCCCCGCGTTGTCAATTCCTTTCCTCCGTCGCGCCAATCTCTGGCGATAGCAACGAGCGCACTTTAAAACGCAATCCACTGTTGGATGGAGGCCTCACCACGCCGTGTCGGGCGTGGAGTGATGTTTGATCGGACTTCGCCGCGCGAGTCAGTGGCGGGTTTGCAATCCTATAAGCTGGGAAATGCAACTCAAGGGGCGCCGGGCATTAACTTACCATTCAGTAATCTTGGTTCTTTCGGTAAAGTCACGTAGAAGGGAAATAATAAAATAACGCAAATATAAAAACAATAAAAATTCTCACGACGTTTCGACTGCAACACAAGCAATCATCATCAGGTGTGAAATCCACATCAAGAATTTTTTTTTTCTTTCAAATTTCTTGCTGTGGATTTCACACCTGATGATGATTGCTTGTGTTGCAGTCGAAACGTCGTGAGAATGTTTATTGTTTCCATATTTATATTATTTTATTATTTCCCTTCTATGTGACTTTACCGAAAGAACCAAGAATATCAATCCCTGCAGCCACGAAAGCTTTAAATCTAAATTTTACCATTCAGTATCAATAAACACGCACATTGTCCATGCGATGACAGTTCACGTAAGACAGCCTGACTCAAACAAAAAAAACTTTAAAAAGTGAGACTTTAATTTAGGAAAGTTTAACCAATTCTCTCTCGACGATAAACAATTCGTGACAGCGATGACCTTCATTGACCTTTCCGTGGCATCGCGATTTGCCTCTCCCTGCTCGGGGTGGAGGAGCGGCGGTCGGGGGGAGAAGAGTGCCCCAGGCAGGGAGCGACGTTTCTGCCTCTCACTCGCATCTTCTTCCTCTTCAAAAAGTCAAAGAAGTGCTGTTTTTGCTTTTTAAAAAACGGGTCACACTGAGCCGTCGGTAAGCATCGCCTGGGTACAGCCCTGCAAAGAGGTGGAAAAAGCCACGATTCCTCCGGCGCGGGGGTGAACTTACCAATACGACAGCCACCTTGGACGATGGTGATGGCTGGTTGCGTGTGAGATTTAAAATCAACACTTTTCCATACTCTTTGGTTCTTTCGGTAAAGTCACGTAGTTAGAAATCAAATCAAATAAAACAAATCACGACGTTTCGATTGCCTGATGACCGACCGCTTGGGTTGCGATCGAAACGCCGTGATTTGTTTAATTTTATTTGATTTCTACCCACGTAACTTTACCGAAAGAACCAACGAGTATGGATTCCTGCAGTCACGAAAGCTTCAAATCAAGATTCAACACTTTCCAATTAAGACTTCAATTCAACACAGCTGCCCACCTACCTACCTACCCGCCTACCTGCCTGCCCAGCGACAAACCTATCTATGTACCTGCCTAACGTTTTCACTTGGGGGCCGTCCATAAATGACGTCACGCACCTAGGGGGGATAGGGTCAGAAATTCGTGACGATGTGTGACGAGCAACTTTAAATATAGACAACACGTTCTACTTAATTAAATTGACTTTTTAATAAATGTTTTCTCCTACAACATCAGAGTGCAGCGCCACATTAAATACGCGCTACAATGACAATAGTTTAAAGCGATTTGAAGCGTGTTTTATATTTTTTTGGGGGAGGGGGCAGAGTTTTTTGACGTCACATTTGAGGGGGGGGGGTCTGACTTTTTGTGACGCCGTGTGACGTAGAGGGGGGACGGGGGGGGGTCATAAATCGTCCCAAATCGCGTGACCTCATTTATGGACGGCCTCTTACTACCTCGTTGCCTACCTTTATACCCACAAGCACCTACGCAGCTATTCACCAACCGAGCCACCAACTCACCTGCCTACCTGCCCACCTACCAGCCGCGCGGTGCAAGCTACAACCAAGGGAGGTCACGGTACATTGTCTTGTCGACGACTTCACCCTCCCATGCTCACGTCGAACGCCAGCCACGTGGTGGAAACGTCAATGGCGACGGTCAACCACACGACGAGAGTGGAATGCGTTACGTTTTCCGGCTTCCACTCACGTCCGCGCAGGCAAATGAGCTGAGCCCCGAGGCTCGGCTGTTTAAGGGCACGAGGGAGTGGTGGCGCAGTCGTCAGCGCAGTGCCCCAAGCCTGTGGCGACCTCGGCCGCGTTCGATTCCCGGCCACGGCTAAAGATCGATGGCGAGCGGTGTCTGGACCGGTCCTCAGAACTCCCCTGATCCACCACCCCCCTCCTACCACCAACACCACCACCGCCCCTCGCCTTCAACCCTCCACCAACCAGTACTGACCATCGTGGGGAAGTATGGCTAAATCATTCCCCCTCCCACCCCGTGACGAACGAGGCGTGGCAAGGCCTTCACCACCCAGTTGTCGTTCGTTGGGACGCTTTCATCCAGCAGTGGATTGGGCTTAGCTGAAAGGGCGCCATGGTGGATGAGATGTTAACTACCTCTCCTGCTATACAGGAGGTCATGGGTTCGATCCCGATCCCGACCCTGACACCTGTATATTTGGAGTTTGCGTGTCTCTCTCCCCGTGGTCGCGTGGATTTTTTTCTCCGGATCCTCCGGTTTTCCCCCTCCATGAGAAGCCACTTCCTTGAGATTTCAATTGTGGCCACGTCGCTTAAAAACACAAAGCCACATAGCTCAGTGGAGCTTACCTTGTAAAATATTTATAGTTTAAATAGTTAGTTTAAATAAGATTATGGTCATGATTATGAGATATATTTTCTAATGCAACCCGATCACCCCACAATGCCGGTATGAGATTTAAAAAAATGTAAGCTACCAGGGCTCTCCAAAACCATGGGACATTGTTTTTGTAAACTACACAATGTTTGTAAAATCCAAGATAATCGCCCCATTGTCTTCTAAATAGTTGTTTTCAGTTTCACCGACAGTCCAGTCACGTGGCTCAGAGGAAAAAACAATGGGAAGGTCGATAGTTTAACTCAGCCCATCATCGTCTTTCCTGGAGTCGATACAATTGGTACCACTTTGTGGGCAAGTCAGGAGTTGTTGTCCTATGGAAAGACTCGCCCCCGTCATGGGAACGTGGAATTTCCGCCACTGGCTTAGAGCTGTTAAGAGGAGATGCGCACCGCCTGAATGCTGGCCTGCAGTGTGGTGGTCGTTGAACACAGTGGTGGTGGTGGTGGTTGAACACAGTGTGGTGGTGGTTGTGCAGTGTGGTGGTGGTGGTGGTGGTTTAACACAGTGTGGTGGTGGTTGAACAGTGTGGTGGTGGTGGTGGTTTAACACAGTGTGGTGGTGGTGGGGTTGAACACAGTGGTGGTGGTGGTTGAACAGTGTGGTTGTGGTGGTGGTGGTGGTTTAACACAGTGTGGTGGTGGTTGAACAGTGTGGTGGTGGTGGAACAGTGTGGTGGTGGTGGTGGTTGATCACAGTGTGGTGGTGGTTGAACAGTGTGGTGGTGGTGGTGGTTGAACACAGTGTGGTGGTGGTTGAACAGTGTGGTGGTGGTTGAACACAGCGTGGTGGTGGTTGAGACCAAGTCATCAACACGAGTGTAGGAATCGACGAGTGAAGTCCACACTAAGAGTAACCTTGGCCAGTAGCGATCTCACACTTCGCTACTGCGAGGATGACCGGAGTTTGCGTGGCCTGTGCTTTTAAACGGTGGTGGCGCTGGAGTTGGTGGTGGTCGAGATTTTGGAGGTTGCGGTGGAGGTGCCGGAGGTAGCTGTGGTGGTGGCGATGATGATAACACTGTTGGTGGTGGTGATGATGGTCGAGGTCGTGGAGGTTGTTGGAGGTGCTCGATGTGGATGGCGCTGGCGGTGGCATTGACCGTGGCGGGGTTTGCGATGTCCTTCTCGCAGCCTAAGACGGACACCGCATCCTCGCCATGCAGATGAACGTGAACAACTACACCGCCCCACCGCAAGCCATTCCCGCCGCACCGCAACCCGTGGCTTTCTTTCCTGCCCCGCCACAGCAGCTGCCCGGCTATGGGTATGCGCCACAGCAACAGCCCACAGCGCCTCCTGCCAACGGTGAGAGACCGGAGCGCGGAACTCGCGGCCCGGGTGCCGGGTTGACCCGTGTCGGGCCACGTGCTTCGTGACGGGACAACCGTCTCGTGTTCACGTTGCGCTTCCTGTTACATCTGGCCTGGAATTTTGCAGCTGTTTTAGACTAATTTCAGGGTGCTGATTCCAAAGCTGATATCAGATTTGCTCTATCACATCTAATTTTTATGCTATCGGCATACCCCATTTTTCATTGATTTTACCCGAAATTAACTTTGTCACTTATGATTGCAAGTTGTTGCGAGTCAGTGACTGCTTTAGTGTTAAAATATGGTGCTGTATTTTTAGGATAGTGTATTTATAATATCATTTTATGTAGATATCCACATTTATTTAATATTTTTCTTCTGCAGTTTTTATTGAAAATGCAATATTTGATATCTCACAAACCTGATGTGATAGACAAAAACTGACGCCAGATTTGTAATCAGCACCCCAAAATTACATTAAACCCGTTGGAATACCTTATGCCAGAAAAAAGTGTGTTGACCAGTGTTATTTTGGTTGCGGCAACTCCGAATGGCGATATAAATGATGGCCTCAGGACACCTGTGTGCTGTGAACAAAGAGACGCCGGGGTGTTATTAAACGACTTGCATCCCACTGGGATGTTTGCACACAGCGTTGAAATGCGGTTTTTTTTCTAGAAGACTTTGCTGTCTTTTCCAATATTTTTCTGTTGCGTGTAGTCACTTTAAGATGTTTCTTTTTGATTTAAAGCTTTTGTGACTGCAGGGATTCATATTCTTGGTTCTTTCGGTAAAGTCACGTAGAAAGGAAATAATAAAATAATATAAATATATTACGGTGGAGAGATGGTAAACTACCTCGCCTGGTATACAGGAGGTTGTGGATTCAATCCCGACCCTGACGCCTGCTACTGCTGTATACTTGGAGTGTGCGTGTCTCTCTCCCCGTGATCGCGTGGATTTTTCTCCGGACCCTCCGGTTTCCCCCTCCACATTTAGAATCAACATCGCGCGTTTAGAGTAATTTGGGGTCTGTAAATTTCCACATCAGCTGTCATATATGATAGTCAGGTCGCTTCTGAAAAAGAACTACAGAGTTCAGTGGGCCTTATCTGGTAAAATGAAAAAAAATATCGTAGTTTAGTTTAAGTGAGAAAAATCACAACAAATGCCATCAGTGCGGTGACCAAACATCTATTGTTGCTCCAGAGCAACAACTCAAGCCACGCCAATGACCCTGGTCAGGGCCAATCTGGATTTATACAAGGAGGAATCCGATGAGCTATGAAGCTCTTTTGCACAGATGTCCAGTGGAGGGGAGGGGGGTGTCAGCCCATCGCCAGTTCCGGATTTAGGCACAAGCTATGCAGGCTACAGCTTAGGGCCTCATAGTATGAAGAGACCTCTAAACACGAACAATTAAACAAAAATAATATGAAGTTTCACGTTACATACTTGGCAGCACCTTCTCCTACGTATGTATATGCTTTATTATCTCTATTTCCATTGACCTGTTAGAATAACAGTCCACTTTAGTTTTGGTAATGCTATGGAGCCTGTAAAGCTTGACATAGTTTCGGGAACCCCATCATGTTATAACCATCCCTCTTCATCGGTGTTGCAGTCAAAGTAGTATTTGCTGCTGTTGTTTATTGTTCTTTACTGTTGTTGTTGTTGACCGCCGTCGATCATCATTGCCGCCCACCCCATCTCACCCCTTTCACCCGCGGGTGTTCGTAACCGGCAGACGGACATAACGTCATCGTCATCAACAACCAGCCGGCACCTGCGCCGGCACCAGCGCAGTCACCGGCCGTGGCGCAGCAGGCCATCGGGCCCGCGTCCAGAGGCGCGGCCATCGTGAACCCGTGCCTCAACACGGATGAACCGGCCAACACCGTGTGCCCGTCCTGCCAGCAGCGCGTGCAGACGCTGACGCGCGGCGTCAACGGGACCATCACCTGGGTTGTGGCCTGCTCGCTGTTCTTTCTCGGGTGAGAGGTGGCAGCAGCGCCCGGGGGTGGTTTGGTTCGGTTGGTGGGTGGGTGGTTGTGTGGGTGGGTGGGTGCATGGGTGGTTGTGCGGGTTGTTGTTGTGGGTGGGTAGGTGGGTGGTTTGGTTGGTGGGTGGTTGTGTGGGTGGGTGGGTCTGTGGATGGGTGGTTGTGTGGGTGGGTAGGTGGGTGGTTTGGTGGTTGGTTTGGTTGGTGGGTGGTTGTGTGGGTGGGTAGATGGGTGGTTGTGCTGGTGGTTGTGTGGTGGGTGATTTGGTGGGTGGGTAGGTGGATGGGTAGGTGGGTGGTTTGGTTGGTGGTTAGGTGGTTGGTTTGGTTGGTGGGTGGTTGTGTGGGTGAATGGATGGGTGGTTATGTGGATGGGTAGGTGGGTGATCGGTTGGTTGGTTTGGTTGGTGGGTGGGTGGATCGTTGAGTGGATGGGTAAATGTGTGAGTACGTGGGTGGTTGGGTGCATACTTGGTTTGGTGGTTGGGTGGTTGGTTGGCGGGCGGGCGGGCGGTAGCAGTGGTGCTGGCTACGCATGTGGCCTGCCAATTCAGTAGTGTGGAAAGCACTGAGGTGATTGGTGCGTCGCACAAAAGGCGTGGAACGGCCTTTCCCGTGTAGGCGTCTCGAAGAGGTGCCGTAAGCCTGCCCTGGCTCGCCAGGAGGTTACGGAAAAATGTGGACTCATTTCCATCTGTTCCTCCTGTGTGAGATAGGGTGATGTCCCTTTGCACACGTGGGTTTTCTCCGGGAGTTCAGGTTTCCTCCATACAAGCAACCACTAGGCTGAAGACAACTCAATGTGTAGGAGTTTGCAGAGCTTGGGCAATTGTTGGCAACGGCGGCACACCATCTGGCTGCTGCCTTCTCGCTCTGCCTGTGGTTCCTTGTGCATCTTGAGTCGTGCTCTCTCTCTTCGGTAGACAGCCGAATGCCGTGTGGCAGGTGGCGCGTTACAAAATGTAATTTCTCATCATCATCGTCATCGCCATAGTCGTTAAACCAAAGAGAATGGCTTTTTGTAAAGTGGACTTTTTTGAGAGCGTCCACCAGGCCAAGGGCACGGACTCCCAAGTTCCTAGCGGCGACCCTCTGACATCAGTGTCGGGAATCTCGTGGCGAGGCTCTGGCGGTGTCTGGGAAAAACAGGCCTGGCTCGGGCTCTTCTCAGATTGGGTGGGCGGGGGGGGGAATTGAGGGGGGGCAGTAGAACTGTTTTCTTGGGGGGGGGCACCATAACAGTGGGTGGAGGGGGGCCAAAGGGACATTTGGTGGTTCAGGGTCAAACCCAGCGCCTGCCGTGAACCGAAATGATTCAGCCAAGGAAGGATGCAGGCCCTGTGCCCAGCCACACTCTCGCTGCTGATATATCTGCAGGAATCATCTTCTGGGGGAGGCTTTCATCCGGCAGTGGCCGAGGATGATGAAAACATCACGATGGCACTGCCAAATCGAGTTGGTAACAACGTGAGATTGCTCAACCTGTCCTGCCGTCTTCTATTCCACACAGCTGCTGGCCGTTCTGCATCATCCCCCTGTTCTGCAAAAAGTGCCAGGACATCGAGCACACCTGCCCGTCCTGTCAAGGTCACATCTTCACCTACAAGAAAATGTGAGCACGTGGCACCCTGCCACGTGCGCGCGCGCGTGTGTGGGTTCGTCCGTCCGATCATCATCTAAAGCACACGGCGCCTGTGGACCACGTCTGTGGTCTGTCTGGAAAGCGCCGACTTTGACAGGACCACAGCCACTCAATTAACTAGCTCCGCCCATGACCCAGAGAGCCCCACCCACTAGTCAAGTAACCCCGCCCACTACTTAGCTAGCCCCGCCTACTGCTGAAAGGCAACAGACTCGGAGTCTATATATATTTTGTATTCTCCGCAGGGAATTGAGTCTTTGCTCCACTATAAGTCTCCTGGCACTACTCTCCCATTGACATTTCGTTGCTTCCTCTTAGTACCTTTCACGCGACGGTCAATGGTATAGTGTATAGCAGATTGTATAACAATAAATAGTATAAACGTGTAATGTTTAATATAATGTATAAGGTAAGATATAGTATCGTAATTGTATAGTGAATATACAGCCGTGTGGTATACAGTAGGGTGGGTAGAAAAATACATAGTGTGATTTACAATGTATAGTCTAAGGTATAGGGTGGTGTATAGTAATGCAGTATATAATTTAATGTTGGGTTTGTCTATGGCAGTATATAGTACGGGGTAGATCTGTGTGATGTAAGGAAAAAGTTTAGCTGGAGGCATATTATATTTTTTGCGACATAGAATTGTAATGTATGACTTACTGTTAGTAGCTCAGCTTATTGGAGAGTATATTTAGTATATTGATGATATTGATGTAGTTTATATACATATATTTTTAACGTGGTGATTTGGCTGCCGCAGCTCCTTATTGTTAAAATTCCTTCCCTTTATTACTGGTAACCCTACCTCCTCCCTTTGTTGCTGCTAATCCTACAGAATGCACGGGTATAATATGACTTTGAGACCCCCCCCCCCCTCCTCCGCATTCCACAAGTAGTGACTAATCCCATATCTGCATTACCATGAATATGCAAAATTCCTCTGTTGATTTGCAAATTTCTTTGTCAAGACGCCCTTCCTCCCCTAACCCAGCTTAAATATACGCTGCCAAGCTTGGTGGTGTTCATTCAGACGCTGTCTTTCCGACAGACCTGTTCTTCACCTGGGGACGGCTGCTTGCGTTGTGGCCAAAACGTCGTGAGAATTGTATTTTATTATGTTTTATTTTTATTATTGTATTATTTCCCTTCTACGTGACTTTACCGAAAGAACCAAGAAGATGAATCCCTGCAGTCACGAAAGCTTTAAATCGAAATTTAGACTCGGACACGCGATGAAGTTCACCGATCATTGATCAGCCCCGTATATATGTTAGAAAGTAGGTGTGGCTTTGCCCTTAGCGGCGTGTCTCTGCCCATATCTGTTCTTGTGAAGCCCGAATCTAGGTGGCCATTTATTACTATATAATGAGCCAAGAATGTCTGTGTGTCCCGCGCGTGACGTCACTCCACGTCGACCAGCCCCCCTCATTAATAATCATGAACAGGTGACGTCCTCCAAATGGAAGGGGGGAAGCGCCTCCTCCCCCCCTCCTCAGCATCAACTTATAACCCCCACTACAAAGGCAGAACCCTCACGTCACGCGATCTCCGTAACACTATTGAGACATAGAAGTAAAAAGGACGTCTTGATGAACAAGGGATTATAACCTTCAAATGAAATAGGTCTGTGTAACCACGCTCTGACAAATTGCACACGCATGGATGCAAGGAATATATCACGTCGCGGCCTGCTTTTCGCTTGCAAGTTTCAGATTTACTGCAATACACCCCCGTCCTTGGACGGGCAAAAGGCTCGTTACTACTATAGTCAGCCAATAATGTCTGTTTGTGTGTAACGCGCGTGACGTCACTCCACATGCCGACACCCCCTCATTAATATTCATGAGCAGGTGGATTTTTACACTCACGCAGAAGGTCGAGCAGAAATATTTTTTTTTGCAAATTCGCTTTAATTTTGACGTTTCTCAATTGAAAGTGAATCTAATAAATAATTATACGCAGCAACAAAGTGGATTTGGTGTCTTTATTTATTTCTTCAGCACTTGAGACAAATGGTAAGTCTAATTTATGCTTCTACATTATGCTAAAATAGACATTTCTCGGTGATTTTCCAGATATTGTATCGAATTCCAATTTATTTCCACCCCAGCGACCGAAAGCAGAAGAGAATAAAATATCATAGCAGTGAATTTGAACAAATTGAAGGGCAGTTATATACAGTTCTACAGTGACATGAAGTGAGGTGTTTGATGACTTCGTTTGGTGCCAGATTCACTGCCATTAATACAGTGCTACAGTGAACTGCAGTGAAGTGTTTGATGACGTTGTTTTGTGCCAGATTCACTGCCATTAAATATACACAAGATACAATTATACTTAAATGTTACGGCTTCCGGCCTAAGACGGGCAAACAAGCTCGTTGTACAAAGCTGTCAACCCATACGGTTGACCCGTATTCTTGTGCCGGGAAATTGAGTTTTCAGGTCCATACGGCGACCAAATTAGTTTTTGTGTTAATTTGTTTGTGTTTCTCGCTTGTGATGGGACTTTTTAGGATGAACGTTGACATTTATAAGGGGCATTGGGTGACCAATAAGGTCTGAATTGGTCTCTAATAAGGTAGGGCACTGACAAGGGGTTGACGGATATTATTTTATCAATTCGAAAGCCATGCTAGAGTGTCGATTTGTGAAGGGCTAATCACTGCGTCCATTCTTTGGCAAGCGATCTATGGATCGAGTTATCCTATTGGTTAGTATAGCGTCATATGAAACGCCCCCCTGTTATTGATTGGCTAATATCTGCATGGGGGCAGCGGGTGCCTTGCTCCCCTCTGGTGACCAAAGCTACGAGTTGGGCCCTCCTTGACAAGCACCATAACAGAGTAAAAAAAGAACTAAAGCTTATTTAAAACGCGGTGTGATTTTTTTTTATTTACCATGAAAATACGTTCATTTACGTTCCACGTTTTATCTTAATCGGAGCGGTAACTTTTGGCTTCCGCAAAGTGGGGGCAAATCGCAACAATCGGGGCCCCACCTGACCCATTGCCGCACCCACTGAGCTGACAATGTCGTTACCCTGCCACTGATGATCGGTGGTGATTCGTCGGTACTCCGTGATTTTTTTTTATTACACGCTTTTATTTAGCTCATTCCGTCTGTTGTCGTATCCTCAAAATATCTTGTAACTCAATTTTTACCCACTTCACAATGTGCTATCGACTGCAAGCTTGGTATACATATGTCATACTGATGACAATACTATATTATATCATTAAAAATCCAAAACAAATTTTAAACATTTTACACGCTTTTATTTAACTCACTCTGTCTGTTGTCGTATCCTCAAATCTTGGAACTCAATTTAAACCGTCTTCCCAATGTCGTATCGACTGCAAACTTGGTATAGGTATGTCATACTGATGACAATACTGTAGTATAGTATATCATTAAAAAATTAAAAATATATTTTTAAACAATCTTTTATGCGGGTCTAATTGTCCACGCTCAACTCACGTTGGCTGTAAATCACCACGGTCCCTTACGTTATGGCAAGCTTCGGGCCACTTCCTGGAGACGTGGAGATCTGTCATTACTCGTACGGTACATTTAATTAAAGCGTGTTTAAAAATAAGTATTTTTAAATATTTGTATCCCCTTACATCGCCACGTGGGAAGTGTCGCTGTACGCGCGCCCCCTCGCGTTTCCTGCCCGGTATTACTTGGTCTAAACTTTATTTTTTTAATATACGAGCATTGAATTGTTTTTACTGTTTGGGCCTAAAAAAACGTGTTTTTCTTCCAGCACGACGGAAATTCGTCAGCTCTTTTGTCAACCTAATCATTTACGTTTTATTTTTAATAAAACTTTTATTTGCCAGTTAGGGCCCACTGAGCTATGTAGCTAGTTTTCAAGAAGCGGCCTGGCCACAAATGATCGTTCAACCAAGTGGCTTGTCACGTGGACATTTATGCAGGAGCCACCGAGCCGAATAATTAAAAAAATATTTATCCGGTCGTTTCAGCTGGCATTTTCAAAAAGCCAGACATCAGTGTCACTCGAAATGGATTATTCGCTACTACGGCACTTAGCCTGATCACAAGCATGCGCTATAACCCCTCAACCCTCACCCCAAATCTACACCGTCAGCCCCAATACTAGCCCGTAATCCTATCCCCAGACACCTAACTCGAACCCATAAACCCTCAGCGCAAACACTAACCCCTAACTCTAAACAATAACCTCCAACGGTATAACCCTTAAACTAAAACCCCGAATCCTAAACCATATATAACCACACATTTTTACCCCTTAACTGTAAAACTAACCCCTAATCCTAAATGGGGTATCCCCTTAATAGTTAATCGCCTAAGGGGCTGTGATTGGGCAGAAATTGGAGGACTAAGAACGTTCCAGCAGACCGTGCCGCTAGAGTTGCGACGTATTCGCTGTAAGAACGACCTTAGCGACCGTCCATAAATGACGTCACGCACCTGGGGGGGGGGGTCAGACATTTGTGACGATGTGTGACGAGGGGGGGGTGAGAAATGTGACGTCACATAAAAATGCACAACTTTAAATAAATATAGACAACACGTTCTACTTAATTAAATAGACTTTTTAATAAATGTTTTCTCCTACAACATCAGAGTGCAGCGCCACAGTAAATACGCACTACAATGACAATAGTTTAAAGCGATTTGAAGCATGTTTTATTTTGGGGGGGGGGGCAGAGATTTGTGACGTCATATTTGAGGGGCGGTCTGACTTTTTGTGACGCCGTGTGACTAGGGGGGGGGGGGGGTCAAAAATCGTCCACAATTGCGTGACGTCATTTATGAACGGACCATTAGCAATCAAGCTGAATATTCCCGTTTGAGATTCACAATCCCTCTAGGAGTTTGACGATGTATAATTTGGGGGACTTTTATATCGTAGCGCTTTCCAACGGAAGAGAAGTTTGGACGAAGGGGTCACGAAGGTCAGCCTCTCCATGGCAGTGGTGAAGTATGGGCAGCATGGACACATTTCTATAAACCATCATCACGCGAACTCGGTGTTCCTCGCAGTAGCAGCAGCGGCTTTTGTCTGGCCATCGAACAAAGACGCTTACCGGCAATCGCGCGCTTTCAGGTGCGCTTCTGCGGCCGTCTGGAACGCTCTTCCTTCCGATATTAGGAAGCCACCAGAGTGATGCGCTTTTAAAATTCAGGTTGAAAGCTAATTTCTTTAGAACAGTTTTGTTGTTGTTGTTTAGTTTGCTGCCCTTCCGCCGCACCTCCGATTAGCGCGGTTGGCTACGTACGGCGGTGCGACAGGAGTTCAACGTAGAAACATTTCTCGCGGACAGGTTGTCGGCACGAAGCGAGGATGTGGAGAGAGAGTAGGTGGTGGGCCATCTGCAAGTAGAAGGCCTCATGCCAGATGAAAGTGGTGGTGGTCGTTCGACTGTAAGAGTCGCCCTCCAAGGTCCTATCGTCTGTATCGGGGGCCAGGACCTCGAAGAAGAGCTTTACAGCTCATCGGATTCCTCCAGTATAAATACAGATTCTGGGATGACGGTGGTAGTCGGCGTCGTTGTGATGGTGAGGCTGTAAGATCGGTCCCCAGAGGCCGGGTATGAATCAGGACGGAAGGAAGCGAAGCACAGGTCTGGTGGCATCAGCGGCATGGGGCGTGATGACTTTCTGTCGTACTGCTAATGTAGATGCAGAGCAGCAACTACAATGTCACATTCAGATGATCAGCCCAGATAACTGCGGAGACGTATCCCAGTGCAGTCTCCTTCGTATTTGTGGATCGGGCATTGCGTCGTTACATGTTGTACGGTATGCTCTGGGTGACCACAGTCGCACACTGCTACTGGAGAGTTTATTTATTTATTTTCCATTTGACCAATGGGCGTGCTGTAAATCGAGTCGATGATTTTGCATGAGAAGCTACTGAGTGCGTGAAGCATATTGTTCCCAATTCAAGCGGTGAAAGCCATTAGCGGTAGACAATTGAATGCATCGACATATACAATATAATGATACATATATTGTAGATTATTAGATGTATGAGTATATTTACAACAGGGTGATCAATAATAGCAATATGAGCCTGAGAATACCTACACCGGGGAGATGGAGTAATGAAATCAGCTCACGCGCTGTACGACATTGTAGGATCGTGGGAGGTGGTGGAACCTTGGGAACGCCTTTGTCCAGCAGGGAATTTATCACGGCTGCTGCTAATGATCATTATTCGCAACGGGATCTCAAAACATAATGAAAAACACACATAGGCATTTACCATTTCTGGCAAGGATACAGGAGGTGTTAAGTTGTCCCAAGGGGCCGTCCATAAATGACGTCACACGAATTTGGACGATTTTTGACCCCCCCCCCGCCTCGTCACACGGCGTCACGAAAAGTCAGACCCCCCGCCCCCTCAAATGTGACGTCACAAAGCTCTGCTCCCCCCCAAATAAAACATGCTTCAAATCGCTTTAAACTATTGTCATTGTAGTGCGTGTTTAATGTGGCACTGCACTCTGATGTTGTAGGAGAAAACATTTATAAAAAAAAGTCTATTTAATTAAGTAGAACGTGTTGTCTATATTTCTTTAAAGTTGCGCATTTTGATGTAACGTCACACTTCTCACCCCCCCCCCCCCGCCTCGTCACACATCGTCACAAATGTCTGACCCCCCCCCCCCCCCAGGTGCGTCACGTCATTTATTGACGGCCCCAAACATCAAATAGATACCTATTATCACAAGGCATCATCAAGTCTGCACACGCATGCGTGTGGTAAAACATGCAAACCAACATGCGTTGATAATAAGAATAAGATATGCATTGTCCTTGAAACTGTTTGGCCTACGGCAGAGCCACAACCTCCTTCATAGCTTCTAGATTTGAAGCTTTCATAGCCTCGTCCTTCATAGCCTCGTCTCTACGCCGGTGTTAGACGGGAGATCAACGCCAAAAGGCGAACAGCCCAAAGGCAATACTAATATCAAAGCATATAACAGCTCAGGTCGAACAGTCATATCTCATAACACATACAGTATACGGATCCATCACTAATCGCATTATCCTAATTACAATTGTATTGCAATAGTAATTGAACCCATGCAGGAATGCATCACTTTGTGATAAAAAAATAAAACACTGTCAATCATGATTTGCTTCCATTGTAATTGTTTTACCAGGCCTCGTACACACTCTACAAGTGATGTGAGGAAGGGTCATTGCCCGAAACGTCGTCTAATCATATATTGGTTTTCTTTAAGGCCACAGTGTTATCGATGTGCTGAATAGAATTCATTCTTACACTCAGGGTACATGCCACGCGTAATAACGGAGTTATAGCATGATCTATGTGTAATATGCCTCGACACCACTGCAGATATCATATGACTGGATATTAATATTAACAGAGAGTCGATCGGAGTGGTAAAGTGTGGGTACTCTCACATCTGGCGAGATGTTAACTACCACGCCTGGTAAACAGGAGGTCGTGGGTTCGACCCTGACGCCTGCTGTATATTTGGAGTTTGAATGTTCTCCCCGTGGTCGCGTGGATTTTTGTCCCCTCCACATTTAGAAGCACGCGTTTAGATGACTGTATTTGGCTGCTATAAATGTTCACGCGAGAAGCCTCGTCGTTGAGCTGTCATTCATGGCCAGGTCGCTTTTGAAAAAAGAGCTGTATAGCCCAGTGGGCCTTACCTGGTCAAATAAAACACATTCCTGCGGAGGGAGCTGGTAGGAACGTCGGGTTGCTCGGTCAATGGCCAGGGTCAACGGCGGCGTGGTGTATTTCGCAAATATGGCCGACTGTGAGGGCGGGCACAAGCCGGCGTGAGTAGGTTAAACGTTGAGTCTTATAAGGGCACCACGGGGTGACCAGCCCCTCCCCACCCAGCCCCACCCCTCCCACCCCCCACCCTCTCCACCCAGCCCCTCCCCACCCTCCCCTCCCCACCCTGCCCACCCAGCCCCTCCCCACCCTCCCCTCTCCACCCAGCCCCACCCCTCACATTTTTGAATGCACGACGGTCGGACGGACACACACAATAATCCCCTGTGGGCTGGTGTAACCAGGAGGTTCCTACCAGTTAAAAATAGTTTGTAGTTGAAGTTTTCAAGATGAATCTTCCAAGACATCCTGTCCATCGTGAGAGAAGAGGCCAAACATCC